AACCACGCCTCTTCCAAGACCAACTCTATCTTCTCTCTCCCACCATTGTTCTCTTTTTCTTGAAACTTGACTCTCCGCTTCGGATTCGCTATCTGCGAGTCCACCATGGCCTCCATCGGCGCCTACGATCAGAACTACGTCTTCTCTAAACCAACTTTGTAGATGGTTGATTACCGATCCGTTATCTCCTGCGAGAGATTCTTGTAGGTATATGAATTCAGGTGCGAGATGTCGGAGGATATGAACGTGGCCAGTTGGAGTAGTGAATGGTAGGACCATAGTCTCTTTTTCCACCAACCCTAATGCTTCGTTGTAGATTGGACCGAACGCAAGTGGAGCCGAGGGCCTTGGAGGAAACATCGGAGTTCTTTACATCTGTTAGTTGGCGACCTTCACAATTGAAAAGATATATGCTTACAACTGTCTATCACTTTCTTCCCCGGGTGTATGAACATCTCCAGGGCTGATGTTCGAAAACGAGGAACTGAGAGATCCACCCGGTCTTCCACCAGCAGCGTCTAGTGGATGCTCGGTTAATCCTGGTGCATATATTAAAACAAATAGTCGTATCTTAGAGAAGTCGGTTTTGCGAGGAAGATGAGAGAGGATTGACTACAGAAGCAATTAGTAATTATTGGCGAATCAACAGAACCACATTAACAAACCGCATATTCATGATGATAGCCCGCTTCGGAAGCAGTGTCATCGTCGTGTGATTCTGCAGACACTACGATGGCGACCGTCTTCCTTTTCCCGTTACTGACTGGTGTTCGAGGTGCTGCGGAAACTCCTGCAGCGCTTTCAGAGCGTAGTTCGATTGGCCCTGAGACTGGGGCCGGCGTTGTAGTTGTAGTGATGGGTGGACTTGGAGCGGCGTTTCTTCGTATAACTGACTCCTCCTGCCATGTTCTATGATCGTCGAAACCATGCTTGTCTTCCTCTCGGATTGAGGAGAGAGCACTTCCCACAACACCACCTACAGCAGCGGCTCCTGCCGCAAGACTTCTACTTGCACTATTGATAAATTGCTGCGGACTAGGTGTTCTTTGTAATGCGCCTGACATTTGAGCTATGTAACCTTGGGATTCTTCAGAGCGTGGAGGGTGTGATGGTTGTTGATCCGTTGTGCCGAATGAAGCTTCCCCCGGTCGCATATCGCCTGCGTACGAAGGAGGACCTGTTCGAAAACTGCCATCGGGATTTCTTTCACCATATTCTGGTCTTGGAGGTTGAAGAGGTCGATTCTCATCGTCGTCGTCGTCGTCTTCATCACTTCGTGTGCTCCATATCCATGCTACTACACCCACTGCGGCTGCAGTAACGGTGAAAGCTAGTGGTAACCAGTAAGAGATATTTCCTCGACGCGCCTGTGCGCCTCTGCGATCGTATGGGGATGACATTTAGGATTGAAATCGCATCTCATTCTCCATTGATTAAATCCCCAGAAATAGTAATAAATCGTAAATCATTAATTCATAAAAACTCGAAGTGTGCTGCTCATTCAATTGTGGAGATGAAGCATTGATCAACAAATCCCGAGGGAGATTGGAGAGGCTGGGAGGCTTATGCTGCGTTTGACCTGAGTTTTAGCCCTGTCAGTTTCTACATCCTCGGTTTGGTGCTGGCTCATTTCTTTGTTTGTTTGTTGTCCATGTGCCTGACCACTTTTTGTTAGTGTCACGTGAGTGTGCAAATGAACAACGTCCAAGCATCTTTCGACCTGGGATGAATTTTGATATTGAGATACAAAACTATGCGAATGACTCTTATAACAAGAGAATGGTCCTTAGATGCCTCTTCTAAGTACAAAATATGAGGCACACCAAAATCGGTTCGTTTTGAGAGCTTAATACAATACTTATTGTTCCAGACTTTACGATATTCTGATCAGATATTTGAGCATACCATCGAGATGTTCTCATGATTTTGGGTTGTAAGAGGGAAGATGGAGGATATGGATGGCCTGTGGTATCTGGTCTGCTAAAGGGAGCATTTGGTTGGTCTAACAGAATTATTCCATGAACTCTGCGCCGCCCGTATAAATCTAGAACTCGATCAGGACAATTTGATACATCACTTACCAAGATTCCTCCTCTTGTACAATTCCGAAGAAGTTTGAGTCGTAAAGCTGTACTTTTTGAACTGCCGCACACTGCGTTTAGAATTTGTTCTGCAACCTGCCTTCACTTGTTGGCCTGCCATTTTCCATTGGAGTCAAGCCCCATTAAAGCGCACAATCTAGCATCTGCTAGCCTCGTCCTCGCTTTCTTGAACCGATCAATCTTTCGTACACGCCCAATCGCTTTAAGTTCCTCATAGTTGTAGAAGATAACCATCTGTAGACCGATCCTACCCTGAATATCCAATTCCAGACAGCCATGCCGTGCCGTGCCACTCACCCATCCACTGTTACTTTCGATTTCCCCGCGTTTTCGAATTAGCTCGAGTACCACCCGCGCCACGGTTACTCGTGCTGCGCATGCCCGAAAGTATGCGAACCCGCTGCTAAGAGATCCAATTTAGTACTATTGTGCTTTACCATCTTGTGGTATGTGCATCTAGCTTCGGAGTTGCACACTTTCTGACAGTATGAGAACTTGCTAATGTGAAATCCATTCAATGACATTAGCCTCTGAATCTAGCTCAGTATTATTGAGCCGCTCTGAAACAACTCGCCATTGAACCTTGTATTCATCGATGCCCTCCTCAATGCTTCTTTCCAAGTACACACGTGCGACCAATCCATTCTTACACTGAAATACAGCTGTAACGGGGTTTCCAATCCCACTTGTATATTGAACAACTTGTATTGCCAAGTCGATACCCTCATGTATAATCGTTGATGCCGTCGTCCAAGTGCCCGACCCACTGGCACAGGTTCAGATTGATAGATGGGTTTTCATTGTCGCACCTTATATCCTTCCCTCCTTTTGTATACCAGTATTGATTCTCGTGATGTGTAAATGTCTCGTAAACACATTCGAAATGATATTCGTAAGAGTATTCGATCCTTCAACAGCTCTGCGACAAACCTGCGACAAGAATACCGCGTGCGCCTCTGTACCCAAACCCATCATTTCTTCGTATTTTCTTTCCATAGTGCAAATTCCCTTCTAATAGACATCTCCCAAAATTCCCGCATATATCTCCCTTGTAATTCTTCGCAGTTTGTCGACGTTCTTCGAAACTTGTAATTTTGTGTTTGGGCGAAGAAGAAAATGGCATGCGACATTCTCTCAAATCCAGCCGACGAAAACGAGACTGCCACCTCCAAATCCAGGTACTTCCAGCATCTGATCTTAGAAACGTACCAAACTTTGGCAGATGATTTATAAATACCCTCTTAATCATCTCCCAGAATTTGAAAACAATCCTGCGCTCGGAACCTCTTGTGCGGTCGAAGCAAATCGCACGATGCACATTTCGCCAAATCTCGACGAAGTTAGGAAGCCCCCCAACCTGCCCCTCAAAATATCTCCCAAACCTGATCTTAGAAGTTTACCAAACTTTCATATAATACTCTCACATACCTCAATAACACATCCCCCAAATTTTATCCACATCCCACAAGCCGTTTTCCCCAAATCTCCAAATGAATACTTTTGTCAAAATCTCCAACCAATCACAACGCTCCATTTCCCTCCTCCACGTGACATTTCTGCCCGACAAAGCGTTTTGTTGCACGTCTGTGGGTGCTTCCAAATATGGGGCTTTTTTTCGACACGACGAAATTTTTACACCTTTCGAAAGCTCTCAATTGCGCGAGTTTGGGAAAACTATCAGAATCGAAATACGCTAAGGATTGGTGGTGGTGTCGACGTTTGCGTTTTTCTTACTTTTTGGTGGTGAACTTGCGAGCGGGAATTTGCGGACGGCGTGGGCGAATTTTGCTCGGTGTCTTTTGTCCCGGGAAGGGATTTGCTGAGCGAGGGATGGGATGAGAGGTGGGAGGGATCACTTTCACTTGATTCACTCTTCACTTGGGAGGGTTGGAGTTTGGTTGCACGTCTGAATTTTTAGTTTATGCGGTCTTTGGCCTAAGGGTTTTTGTGTGTGAAATTCCTCATAGGAGGAATTGATGCGCCAGCTTTTGACTTCAAATAGAATGTTCAGATACGTATAATTTTATATTCATCTAATCTGGTTACGTCGGCGCTCAACTATGGACTAGAAAGCTCACAAGTCAACAACGCTCAGTACAGGAAACCTTTGGTTGCGCATCCACAATTCCACTTGATACGCTTCATTTATTCGCGCTACTACCATCGGATTTCAACAACCGCAACTTCATGCACTGATTTTAATACCTTCACATAAGAATCTTTAAGAACTGTACTCGCATTGGCTATGGTTCAACATTCATCTAGTTAAAAATAAGTCTTCTATTGAGGAACCTGAAAGGGAATACTATTCACAGTAAGAGAAGCTTTGTTGCATGTCTACAATCCAGTAGTAAATTTCTCTGGTCCTACCAATAATTTAACAAACACTCCATCTACCAGGTGAGGTGGTGCTTCATGTGCTGACATTACGTTCTTCATATACAAAAAGTTACAATGTTTTGAAAGTATGATGGATGCATAGATAGGTCATATCAAACCTCACTTCGATGCATATACGTACTAGTCAAGTCGTTGCTGGGTGATCGACCAGTGAATACCTCTTAGCGCGGAAAATGCCTTTCCGTCGCGCGCCTGTACCCAAAATGAGCACTTCCATTGGCTTGTTTTGTTTACAAAAATTAATTCGATAACATGGGATGTCCCAAATTTATATCAGACGAGAGCCGCATTGGGGACCGCGTCAAATTCTTACGTCATTATTTCACAAAAATGCCGAGGCTCGGCAGGATTATCAATCTTCCAGGTCACGTTTATCACGTGAAACGACCATTCCGGGGTTCTACCGATCTGTTGCACGTCTGTGGTCAAAATTGAGCCCCATACAAAAAATGGTAACTTTCGCAATTAATGGAATTGTAACTTTTTTAAACTTGGAGGTTATAGAGGACGTTTGGAATAGTGTAGGAGTAAAGTTTCGGGGGTTTTGGCCGCTTCGTTGTTGCGTGGCGCATCGGGGCGTTTTCGACGTTTTTGCTCTTCACGCGATTTCAGTCGCAATGTGCCAGCGACGACGATGAAACGGTGACAGGAAGGTCCTATGGGGTCAAGGATTAGTTGTTGACAGTTTGGGGTCTTTGCAGTGGTCACGTAACGTCTGCGGGGACTTTGAAGGCCGATCTGCACTCTTGATCTTGCGCCCCGGCGCCCTGTCTCAGATGTGAACGCGTTGACGGGTATAAAGGCATTCGTACGAGGTGCCACGAGTGTGCCAAAGAGTTTGCCCCATTTGTGGGAATGATTGGACCAAAATTGGAACTTTTGTAAACTTTTTTCTGCCGGCGCGCGCGGGGCTCGATGTGCGTGGACGGAAAATATGGGAAGGTATCTGCGGCGGCGGTTCATAAACGTTAGCAGAGTGTTTGCAGGAGACTAAGAGAAGCATAGATTTAGGCCAGTAGCCAAACATGCCTCATTTAATATAGGAGGAAGGAGTTGTGCGAGTTTTGTTTTTGCGCACCAAGAACCCCTACCAGACTGTCGCATTATGAAGGATTTTGAATTTTGCGAAAAGTGTAAATTTTGAAAGCTGGTGCTGTTGTGTATGGTCTTCTTATATAGAATCTCAAGTTTAGGAGGGCTAGAAAAAGAAATGGTAAAGTGGGAGACCGGGACGTTTTTAAGAGTTGGGTTGTTGACCTCGATTCTATTGCTGCATGTTTGTTTTCGTCTCAGAAAGTAGGATCGCATAGGTAAGATTGATCACCGCAGTGAATGCTGTGAGAGGTGAATTCTAAATCTGCAAATGTTGTTCTGCCGAAAGTTGCAGGCTTCCAGGCTCTTTCTACGACTCTTTTTATGCACTGTTCGGGCGTCCTTTTTTTTGTATCAGACTGTCTGTTTGTTCCGCCCTGTCAACTCCTTGTATTTTTTCATCTGAATTGTAGTTTAAGAGTTGTCTACGTCGAGTCTTGCCATTGCGAGTTGTATGGAGGGGTCGTACACAATATTCTGTCCGAAGCTCGAGCGCATGCAGGTCTTTCGTCGCATCTGCCCTCAAGTAATCGCATTAGCCAGAGTCAGCTGCTTTACTGCTATCTCACAACCTCACATTCCTCCTGCTTGAGTTTATTTCCCTCAAACACCACGTTCACTGATATATTTCATTGCGCACCTGGAGTAGCTTCCTGCCTCTGACAGTTTGCAATTGCAAAGAAAATATCACATCAATCTAATAGTAGACAAATTCCCAGCTCCAGGATGCCATAAATATCTCTGCGGGTTCAGGCAATTAGTTGAGGATTTGTGGCTATTGAGTGTTGGTAGAAATGGTTTGTTTACACTTTCTTCGTTTTGAAATTTTGTTTATAGCTGGAGCTTTTAGATTTACCCAGCACGAAATATTGTAGTGAATACAGACAGTGAATGAAAAACCTTGTGGGTGAGAGAGAAGTATGAGTTGGTGAGATAGGATGGTATGAGAGATGTCGTATAGTCGTATTTTCGGAGTAGTATGGTAGGGCTTGGATTTTGCGAAGATGAGATGTAAAAAAAAGGGGGATTGGGGACGTTAATTCCATAGAGATACTAAAACTTAATGGTACGATCGCACTTCTTGGTTGGCAATATATACATCATACACGAAAGCTTATGAACAACAGGATGAATTAAAATTGGCTATGATCCGGTCGTGAGGCGGATATATAATGGCTCCTGCTCCATGGCTACCTTTGCTACCAAAAGGCTTCCCTTGCGGATGCGAGCCCAGATTGCTCTTGTGTTGTGAGAGAACAAAAGCTCTTGCGCTTTAACCTCAATTTATTTTGCTAGATGCCATTCCCCGTAACGAGATGAGACGCTTCAGCCCTTGATCTTCTTCTTCTTATCCTTCTTCTTTGGTTCCGACGCCGTGCTGCTTGATGGTCCATCCATCATTCCAGCCATTCCAGGCATTTGTCCTCCCATTTCAGCCAACATATCCTTGAACAGGTTCTCACTAATGCCACCACCAGATAATGCTGCACTATAGTATGGCAATATTTCTCCCATCTTCCATCCTTTGGGTACTGCAGGTCTGGGTAATGGTTTGCTAGGATCAGGTGGTGGTATGCCAGCAAGCTGAGGTTGCATGGCTGTGCGTTCTGTGGTCGGGTTTTCCTTCAGATGTTTCGCGATCAATGTGTAGAGGTGGTGCTCTGTAATTTATCAAGTGTTAGTTATGCCAATGTAATGCCTCGCAAAGTGCCCTAGAGTCTCTTTAAAAAAAAAAACGTTGAAAAAAACGTACTGTTCCTAATAGCTGTATTTCCCCCTCTAATATTGACCTTAACTCGACCTGGATTTGCCCAATCCTTAGGATGAGTCTTAACTGGCTCAAATAATGTTTCGATTCGAAGTCTAGAGCATGCAGCAACAATTTCTCGGGCGACTGGATTCTTGACAGCTAGCTCCATACCGACTCTTCTACCTTCTGCTCGGCTTCTGGTCGCATCAAAATATATTGGATAGATGCATTGAAAATCTTTGTACTTGGAGCTGTCTTCCGTTGAGCGAAACTGTGTGCCATCTGCGCCGGTGGAAATTTGAGAGCCAGAAAATGGTATATTTGCAGGATTCATAAGAGAAGATTGGGCATTAGGTGGTGCGCGTTTTGTAGCTGGTGGTGCCGCTGTCCTCTTCTTGATAATATCGCGGTCTGAGAAATCCGAGGCCACATCTGAGATATCGCCTTCTGATGGATCGCTGGCGCCATATTCATTGTCGCTATCCTCGACCTCTTCAATTCTTGCGTGTGACATCTTGCTTGTTGTTCGATCGCAGATCGTGAGTCAGGAGGTGTGTAGGTAGGTATCGTATCCTAAGGATGTGGGGGTGGGGTCTAGAAAGCTTGAGCTCAAAACCTTAACATTCTTCGGAAAGCAGCGATCGTCACGTGAAATATCCCCAAGCTCTTTGGCACTTTTAGCAAGCACAATTCACGCGTTTGAGAGATATAAGAAGTTTTGTCCAAGCCCGACTAATCTTTTCCCTCATTGCGAAAGTAGGTTGAAGTTTGGGGTAATGAATGGGATTTGAATATGGCTGATTGTGAGTGAAAGATTTATCGTTTAGGACTGATTACGAATTGAGGAACAAGTATTGATCAGGATGATGGGGGGAGCTTGAGATGGAGAGTCGAAATTCGAGGATTCAGGACTACTCCTCTGATTTTATAATCCTTTCCCCCTTAAATCAACGCGATCAGACTCAGAGAATGACTCGGAAGTACACGACAACGAGGCAGTGTTTTGAACATTGAAATGAAGCTGTGCAGTTTCAAGATCCCCACCAAATACACACTTGTCTGGATAACCATCCTTTCGACTTGCCAAGCCACTCTCATCAGGCAGCTCAGATTGAGTTGAAGAAGTAATGATAATGATTTTCATAAAGAGTTGAAAGAACCGGGCGCATACTCCGTACAATGGACCTGGTGGTAATCAATTAACCAAGTCTTATGTAATTAAAAAAGGAGGTCAGTAAGGGAGCAAAGTACAATATGTACAACATTCGATAGTGGGGGTTGTAAACAATATCCATCTCCCTGGATGATGAGTTCAAATATTCTATTCTTGCATGCCACATATGATGATACAAGGGACCCATGCCGTGGCTGACATATGTAGCTTTTCGTTCCTTGATTTTGTGTTCCTGAATCTCAAGGGGTGAGAAGGTCGAGAAGAATATCTATATATATGGCAGAGTTGGCGGCAGTATAATGATTGGTTATTCATTGCACAATCTTCCTCTCCTTTCACTCCGTATTTTCAGTTCTCCTGAAATTGGGCTGTTGATAGAATGGTTGTGGCCAACCTCGCGTTGGGTCGAGGATGGCAGTTCTTCAAGTATCATTGTCCAAAGGGTAAGGTAATCTGATATCATCAATGTACTTTCTTTCCTTTCTTTTCTTTTTTCGGAAAAAGAAAAGTGGTAGAGGGGTCGGGGTTTGCCTTGTGGCTGGCATATTGAGGCGGCAACCTTCAATCAAGCCTTCTTCCAATCTTATGGTCAAAAGCTTGGAATTCTTCTCGAAACGTCGTAATGTACTAATTCCCTGTGAAGAGATTGATTATCATCGAGGTAGAGGTAAAGGAAGGCAGCTAGTTTCGGGTAGACTTGGAGTCATACGAAGGAGGCAGTCGCAGTCATCCTTTTTCGCCAGTTCAGATCCAGAGTCTGTTCATATCCAGCCTCTTCAGATTGCGAGGTTTTGTCGAGGCTTTCTTCAAATTTGGAAGGATCTCGGGATGAGGGGGAGCGATATTGATAAGAAGAAATTTGATCAAGGTCACGAGCAAGAACAAGTCAGAGAGAACGACAGAAGAGATTATTGTGGTATTGATACTGGGAACGATACTCGTGGTGAGTCAGAATCTTTTCGTAGGTTTAGAGTGTCTATTCTGAGTTTATTAAATCGCGGGCTTTCAAGTGAAAATCCAACCAGCCTTATACGATATTGTTAGTACTTTCTGGGTATATATGCATATTATACTGTAACCATGACGGCGCCATTACTACCTGTTGTATACAAAACACTTCAGAGCATTCTGTGAATTCAGCAATAAATCTTTCAATTCACCTTAAAAATCTACCTTCACCCCATTTCATCTTCTAGAATTGTATCTGGCAAGGCTACTACCCTCTAAGCTTGTTCAGAGAAAATCTTCCTGGGGCAAGCTCTCAACTTCCTAGGCCCTTGATTCAATTCCTCAATTCTCAATGTCTCTCGTCAACTCACCCCAAACGTTTCCAATAATTGAAGTTAGCTGATTGAATTATCTTATTATCAAGAGAAAACGATGGATGCCTCAAAAAGAGCGATCTGCGTTGAAGAAGGCGTAGATGTGTCTTTTGGAATTGGCAATGGTAAGAGTTTCTCTCTCATTACTTGGCAGCCGCCTCTGATCTAGGAGCCGAAACCTGAAAGTGTGCAGTTTTGTCTGTCAATAAGGAGAGCACCCAGCTAATGTTACCATCAAAAGTCTCCTCTAGATACGCATCTAAGACCAGGTCATGCTCACCAGCTTTATCGGATGCATCCTCGTGTACTCTGAGAGAAAGCTCGCCAGAGCCAGAAACATGGTCGAATCCCATATCAACAGATTCCACAGTACTCGATACGCAGCCTTCTTTCAAATCTCTCTCCATATCACCCGAGACATCTGACACGCCTATAACACCTGCAACACCAGCCAAAAAGCGGTCTTTGGAGGAAAGTGAGCTATCTTTCACGAATCTGGAGATCTTTAATGCTTCCAAGCGCCACAATGGGACTCCACTCTCATCGTTTCGTAGTGCTTGTCACATGAGTTCTAGACCTCTTCAGTCCTGCAACACTCCGCACGCTGCTTCGCTCGGCCAGAGAATCCCATTAAATAGCCTTCGTACTCACCGAATCAATCCCGAGGTTGTATCTCCAATTTCAAATCAGTCCAAAGCTGCTCGCGCTGAAACCAATACCCCTCGCCAGGTCCCTATTATCGCAGCTCCGAAGGAAATCATTAATATTGACGATGAAGAAGACTTCCCTGCTTTTCAAATACCTCCCGGAGTCGAAGTCATTGATCTAGACGAATATGAGAAAGAAAATGAGCTTGAGGAGGATATCTTTGGCATTGAGCAACATGCTGGGGCTCAAAGTAACTTTCAACGTGCTTTTCTTGCCGACAGAAATCCTGAGATCGTACCTCCCAATATAGAAATTCAATCACTGGCATGGAAATCTAGTCTTCTCAGACCCGAGAAAACAGTAGAGCTGAAGAACGGAACTTTCCTGAAGATCAAAACAATCGTCAAGAATCTCGCAAGTGATGAGATTTCGATCAGAGGGTGGAAGCTCGTGCGTACTCGAGATCGAATGCTTGGTGGTATTGCAGGAAAGAAGAGAAATGAGCTTGCATTTATTCATGAGGTCGATAGGGACGACAAACGAGATGTATGGGAACAATCTGTACATACGATTCGAGTGGATGAGGTTCTGAAGATCCGCCGCTTGATTTGTACTAATAGACTTCTGCCGGAATGTAGATACAATAAAGATGACATTCCGGTGGAGATTCGAAGTAAAGAAGAGAACGAGATACTAAAATATATAGAGGAGGAGATGGCATTGGTGGCTAGAATCGCGTTTGTGGCTAGATATCCGAATGCAGAAGCGAGAGTAAGGAAAGGTGCACTTGTGGATAGACCCAGAGAATCGGGAATTTTGAGATCTCTGCAGAAAAAAGAGTGCACAGAAGGTTATTATATCGATCCGGATGAGAAAAGGAGGGGGTGGAGAGGAGAAACTATTTTGGGCGGTTCGGGAAATCTCGACAACGGGAGAAATGGATTCAATTTCAGCTCTCAATACACATACGGCGATGGATGTGAGTTCAAATCCCTTGACATTTTTAGACTCATCTAACAAAAGCGCTCAGACTGCGGAGCAGGAGGTATGACCCGTGGTGCTATAGCAGCCGGTCTCAAAGTGAAATGGGGCTTTGATTTCAATCCACACGCAGGCGACACATGGCAAAAGAATTTTCCCGATGCAAAATTTCATCTCTTGCCCGTCAACGAATTCGCCGCTCTCCCTGATCCGCGCAAGAAACTCTGGGTCGACATCCTCCACCTCTCTCCTCCCTGTCAAGTCTTCTCGCCAATCCACACGTGTCCAGGACGTAATGACGAAATGAACTACGCGGCTCTCTTCGGCGTTATGGCTGCAACTGAAAAAGCCAGACCGAGAATCGTAACTCTAGAACAAACTTTTGGGATTCTGCATCCGAAACACAAAGATGCTTTTAATGGGCTCATCGCCTGTTTTACGAATCTGGGTTTCGATGTTTCGTGGAAAGTGGTGAGCTTTCAGGGATATGGGACGCCGAGTCGTAGGTCTAGATTGATTATTCTTGCATCTTGGTATGTCCTCCCTTAATTCCCCATCCCTTTAATATCTTTTCTTACTTTACAACATATTCACAACATGCATAACCCTGACTTTTCCCCCACAGTCCTGGAGAACCCCTTCCCCACTTGCCCCAATACACCTACCACGACCCGCAGCACCTCCACCCCTCCCAAAAACCCTACCTCACCCCCAACAAAGTTCTCTCCGCCATCCCCCGCAACGCCCCCAACCACGATCCTTCGAGCGAAAGACTCCACCGCGCAGCCTACACCCCCTGGGACGGCAGCGTCATCTGCCGAGCGATTCTCACCAGCGGCGCCGGCGTCGGTCTCCCAAACGGCACTCGCGGAATGACGAATCGAGAACTCGCTGCGCTGCAGGGATTTCCGCTCAAACATGTGTTTCACGGACGGGAAATTAAGAAACAGGTGGGTAATGCGGTGCCACCGATTTTTGCGAGGAGGTTGTTGGAGAGTGTTAGGAGACAGTTGGAGAGGAGGGATGGGTGGGTAAGAGGAGAGGGGATTGTGCTTAGTTCTGATGAGGAGTAGAAGTAGGAGCTTGGGGATTTGGGATTTGGGAGAGCTGTGGGGATGGCTCCATGTGTTTGTTTCTTGATACGTTGGAAGTATATGGGTAGAAATAAAGTACTGATGTGGTTAGAGTGGCAGAGACTCGCATACAGAAAAGAAAACAAAGCACTATTTGAGTAGCAAGTGTGTTTTTCAGTTCGATTTTTAGAACAGGTAAACTAAGTAGTTAGACGTCGAAATCTCTTCGATTTAATCAGATCTAATCTAATCCAACAGTGTGAAACACTCGAGGTATTTCGTTCCAAAACCAATCGAGATCTAAACTCGACCCCCGAAATCATTATACAGAACTTTCCTACTTCCTACAACCGATATTTCACTCAGATTCTCGAGATCTTAGTTGTAAATGTCCGATGCGGTGTGCATGACTATGTATTCATGGGATAAGGTAATTACACTAAATCCATCCATCCATCCGTATTTGCATTCCAAAGACATCAGAATATCTCCTGCGAAGCAAGATAATAAACTCTATCCCAACACTATGAAATTCCGTGGTATTCCAAGATTCCTTATTATTACACCTATAAACCCCCACTTTGCATGCATAACCACATGCAAAGCCTATCACCCATCCTATTAAACCACACCCAAACAATGATATATATACCTCCACCCCCCTCCCCAGCCCTCAGATAAGAAGAACTCCTAAAAACCCGCCTCATCAGCCTTGCCATTCGTATTCCTACTCCCACTCGCCTCCGCACCTCCCGAATTTCGAATCATGATTTCCTTTGGTTTACTCGGTTTCGCTCTCACCACATTCCGAATACTCGCTTCCCTCAACTCCGCGTTACTAAGACCGCTCCTCGGTCTGGAAGCACGGGATTCTCTCCCCGTATCACTACTTCTAGGTCTCTGAGCCCTAATCTCATCATCATCCACCTCTTGTTCTGCCTCTGTCGCATTCATAAAACTGCCCGCTTCCTCCGGGACATTTGAAAGGACGGTTTTGAGATCCCGATCGAGAGTAGTAGTTGGAGAGTCTTTGAGGGACAGGTTTTCCGGTTTCCTATTTGCAGAAACCTTTCCCTTCCAACTTCCTAATCCCAAAACTTTCCAGGCTTTCCCAAGTGAAAATTTCAATTCGCCATCATCTCCGGCATCTAGTTCGACGAGGGGACTAGATGATGATGCGCTGACATCGCTGGCATTGCTCCAATTTCTTCCATGTTGGCTTGGCCGACGGATTGGACTTACATCATGACCGTGGCGCAAATTCTGGTTTCTGAAGTCGGGAAGTTCAGATTGTTGGTGTGGGGGGATGTCGAAATAGGATTGCGGTTGTTGAAGAGGAGGGGTGGATTCAACAGAGTGATTACGACGGCCCGACGATGTCTGAGAATAAGCAGAATCCGAGGTGGCTACTGGGTAGTATCCGCGACCTTGAGTTTGGGCGCGGTTACCAGGATAGGCGTGCGGGGAAAAGGGGGAGTATGGGTTAAAGGAAGGTGGGGTTACGACTTCAGGACCGTCGTGTCGGTCAGATGAAAATCGTTCAGTTGTTGGGTGAGAGTAATTTCGGACGCTACGCGACGCTTCTGAACTAGTCATTTGCAGAGGATCGGTTGATATTGAACTCATATCGGATGGTGATGGGTATGAAGGACGATGTCTATGTGATCGAGGGACATTAGATCCGCTGCGTGTTTTTGCTTCCTTGAATGCCTTTGTGGCCTTCTTGAGGCGCCTTAAGATACAGAAAGCGGCGATAAGAATCACGAGGAGAATGAAAGCTGCGCCACCTATGATGCCACCAATTTCCGGTTTCGTAAGACCGCTGCTTGTTGGTGTACTCCCATTTGTTGCTTCGACTTTTGGTATTGCGGTAGCCGTGGGTGTGAGTTTTGGGACGGCCGAAGCTTTTGATGTATTCGCCGGGACTGATGGTGACGCTGGAGTAGAGGCTGCAACTAATGTGGATGTAATAGTCTGTGTGTGCGAATTGCTGTCCGTCGTGGTCAAGGTCTCGGTCAATGTGAAAGTCGTTACTGCCGTGGAATAACAATCACTCAACCCACAGCCCATACCATTCTTACAACAACCATAGTTTAATGAAGCCGGACATAAATATGAATTGACTCCACAAGTTTGGCTATAAGAAACACCGGGAGAAGCGCTACATCCGTCAATTGCGCATGAGTAGCCAGTTGGACAACACCCACCTGTTTTCCTATCAGATAATTTGCGATATAATTTGGCATGTGATAAGAACTTACCTCCGGCATCAATTCCACAAGCTGTATATCCTGACACTCCACAAGCTGAAGCAGGAGCTGCGCTGGTGAGATAACAACTACTTGTACCGCAAGATCTGTTGTTTGGACAACATCCTCCATTCATCGATTTAGGGCATAATTGATAATCGCTCGGACATTCTGATGCATCCCGTTTTCGCCCTTGAATCGCCTCGTGTATTTTATCCCAATGATTCGAACCCAATTTTCTCTTTACCATGCCTGGGTGTGATAATTTTGGAAACTTCGTCGTCATTGTAACTTGAGTTGTGGTAGTTGCCGAGCAGGATTCTCCATCGCAAACTTTATTAGCGGGGTAGCAATGCCCATATTTGTTGTTTGCACATTGTTGAATGCCCTCGGGGTATTGATTGTCGAATTTATTATCCATTTGATTTGCCATTGTTTCGCGATATGTGTTTTGACTTTACTAATGCGAATTGTTCGTCTTTCGTTAGATATTATCCTGCAAATGCTTCTTGCTATCGCGAGCGCAATTGTGCAACACAAGCATCTAACGTCTGCCGATCTTTTTTTGTCCAAACTATTTGGTGCTGTGAGACCTGAAGCTGCAGCATGAAAGTTGGTATCGGCCCGCGAGATTTGCACTTTCGAACAGCGGGGTCGGTACTATAATGTCATGAAGCCTGATTGTATCAACGAAAGAAGGTCTTCGAAATTTAGATCAAGCGACTGTGCCCTTCTGGTCGCAGAAATACCACAGTATAATGAGTGAACGATCTCGATTTCCCACGCTGTAAATACCAGTAGAACCAAAACAAGGGTATATATCGCAAAGGGCGCCTCTTACGGATCTCACTTCGAAAATTCCACGTTCGGTAAAACGTGATGCAGGAACATAAACAACGATATTTGAATGAGAAAAATACCAAAAATATCAAAAAACCGACAAAATTCTTACTGAGAAATGCATTTAGTCACGGATGGGCATTTGGAAAAGTGAGAAGATTGTCCCGCTGAGGCTCCATAGCACTCATCTCAGCCTCCCAGGTTTCCATTTTGGTATCGATGACAAGCATGGGCTGATGATTGGTAGTAGTATCCCTATCTGATTGGGTGTTTCTGCCACACAGTATTGGGTGTCGAGACAATTCCAACAAATCAGAGTGACTAGGGGCGGAAGGAATCGAAGATGAGTAGAAGATACATTGATGCAATTAGCCAGTAGAAGTGAAGGTGGTGCTGATCGTGTATGCAGGACTACCTATGAGAAAGGACTCAACAAATTGTCATCGGACGTGGCTGGTGGTGTGGCCCGGAAAAGAGCAGCAGTAAATGTAAGATATGTACGTACACTGTCGTGTTGGTCAGAACCCCGCGAAGGAAGAGAAGCTGAGATAAGGATGACTGCGATATGAATGTGATACAAAAAAGTTTCCCCACTCTGCACTCGCGTTGTCTAAATGCAAAGTACAAAGAGACAGACAGGAATTTGGTTCTCCTTGAACTATATAATTGACAAGCACGAACTGCACACAGAAAATGCTTGTCGCACCAACTTGGCTGCCAGCATGAATTCTCAAATGGGCAATCATGACCGAAGCTGTCGCTTGTCAGCTGCAAGTATCTATGCAATGCTTCAGATACTTGCCAAATTTTCTTTTTCCGACATCTCAATTGGTGGAAATGAATCTTCTTCATGCGAGAAAGCGGCGTAGGTCCAAAAATGGTCGCTGTTCAGCCCCCAAATCAATAAATAGATGTCAGAGTTGGCTGCATCACAATATGCGTTCAGTGGTTTGGTAGATGTTGAGATTAGTCATCCACCTGATAAAGGACCATGTAGCGTAGCTCCATCGCACAGATCGTATCGTAGTAATAAGAAGTAGATAATAGCTCTCTTCGTTATTTAACATTATTATTGAAAATTTATACTGAAAACTGCACCAAGAACCTAAGCACCGCTCGTGTTCTCGCAAGAAATGGAGATGTCGACCAAATGCCACACGATGTTTGTTATGGATAATCCAAAAGAAAGATCAAAGATGAAGCCAGCCATCTCTCACCCTGCCTTATGAATAGCATCTTCCAAATTCACGTCACATCCATATTTCATTCGAACAAAGTTATGTTTAAGGAATTGGTTCTCATACAATACGAGGAGTGCTGGCTCTTTCCAATTGCTGTATGGTTGGAGTGGTGTGAGGGGCGTTATACCTGGACAATCTTATAGATTTGACACACCGAGTCTGGTCGCTCTTCATCTGCTCACTGCTTAATTGCAGTATACAGAAGTCTGGATCGCTATGCGTGACTAATTAAGATGGGAAGTCGCGAAATGTCTGATTTTTCCTTGCTTCTGTCTCTTCGCAATGAAGCTTCTTTCCGGAGGAAGGTTCGAATAGTTTGGCAACAATCCTCTATTGATCAGTCCGTTCAGTCCTCAACCGTACTTTCCCAGTTTGTCGGGACTCGCTCAGACATTAGAAAAGTCTCATTGCATATTTATTTGCAAGCTCCTGCAATTTGCAAGAGTGCACAATATCTTGTCGTGTTGTGATCTAACAAAAATGCGTCGAGGTGCCTGCACACCTGGAGAAGTGCCTTTGGTCATAGCCTAGTCGGTTAGATCAAAATAAAGCTATGATATGCACATCTGAAGAGCTTTCCTCTGTACCCGACGCGTTAGCACTTCTGTTCTTGGAGTGAGATCGGCTAGAAACAGGAAGTGAGGTGTTTCAAGTATTCACAAATTGAAATCAGAGTCTACCTAACACTTGGATTACATTGTACGCGCCTACTCTCTCAATTTCTCTCTTCCCAATCTGAAATAATTATTTGGGAAGTCACTAGAGAGAGACAAACAGAGTAAATTGGAAAGTCTGTAAGTTGGTGAATTGTTCTTATTTCTAAGCTCAGTATTATTGTTGATTCCAAAATATCAATTAAACAGAAGGTGCGAATCAAGAGTCGCCGATGCCTATGGTTGCTTTCACAGTGATTGGGGGTTTAGGAAGTTGCGTGGGAGAAGAGGTCTCGTAAATGAGTATAAAGGTCCACAATTCATCTCTCATCTTCGTTCTCAATCATACAACAATCATACAACTCATACATTACAGTATTCATACACAATTCAGATTCCAACATTCAATTATAAAACATTCATCCCAACTATTACGATTACAACAATGGTTCAAATCAAACAACACATTCTCAGTGCTCTTGCACCTATTGCTGCACTTTTTTCTCCCTCTCCGAGTCCAATGCAATCTGCGCCATTCACGCTGTCCGTTGTTTCTGAGAACAAGTATTTAGATGGCTCTTATATACACGGTTGTCACACTGGAGCTGCTCAAACCGCACTTTGTGCTTTCCCCAAGTGTCATGCTCGTCATGGGGAAAACTCTCCGGTATGTTGTCAATCCTTGTGTCTGAATTCACATCAATTCCTGAATTTATATGAGTGACGTACTGATAAGAATTTTCAGACTACCTTCTACTTCAACGTCTCCGCTCCCCTCGGCCCCCATCAGCCCTCAGGAGCCCTAGTCTACAACTTGCCATATGATACGGATAAGTTTCTTTCCCAATCGGCAAAAATGGAGTTTAATCGCTATACGCATGATTTTGCCCATCCTTTGTTTGCACATCCTGACGACACGGAAGGTATCTTTGTCTTCCACCACGATCGCTTGCACCTCAAAGATCATAGAGAGCAGCGATGGTACATCTGCGGTGGATATTCTCCTTTCTCCATCAATAGTTTTCCCATTTTGGTTTGGTATCATGGAGTTGGAGATCCACGTGCAGAATGTGTCAAGGTGGAGATCAAGAGGGCATTCGTTTAATTCCTGGATGTCGAGTAAAAACTATGAAGTAGTGAGATCTAGGCTATAGGGCAGCTGAGCTTTTGATAGGAATGACTTTTTTTCATTCGAGAAGGAAAATCCTCTGTGTATCAACAGCATTTGGGGGTATTGTTAACCCAGAGACGGTTTCACTCTTGGGCAAGCGTTAGTTCTGGAAATATAAGTTTTAAATCGAGTTCTATCGTCTTATGTGCTACTTCCCTTGATTGTCTTCATTAATTCTTTTGGACGAAGATTCTTGAAGGGTGACTGCAGCAGCTTCGGCTGTCGTGTCGTGGTAGACTTCTCGTGTAATTCTTCTCCATTTGCGAGCCGGGAAACCAAGCTTTATGTCAGAACTCTCTAATTTGCATTCCATACACTACATCTATGCGATTTTCTCATGATTCTTTCTGAATTTATCGAGTAGGAGCCGGCCCCGATAAATTGCATAGACATATTTCTGTCTCGACTAGAGTCGAGATCTGGCCCCTATCACCCATTCCTGAGCATGCCAAGTCCACAGAATCTCCTCTCAAGCGGACACATTATGTTCTGATCCAATCACAATTATACCGGTGCATTGTAACATTACACCCCCATCAATAGATGTGCGGAAGCCCTCTTGCCGTGGGGGCGGTGCAGGGGAGATTTCTTAAATTTAACTTGGCTGACTCAGCTGAGCTGAGTATCCAGGAACTCGAAATATCTTAAAGCTGACGAGTAATAATCATATTCTGCCATGCGAGGCGCGCCCCCTTTTCTGAACTTCGACCATGTAGCTAAGCTACAAGTTGAAGCCTATCATTAACAGGATATAATAGTAATATTATAAAATGAATATATTTTTCTTTTTTAAAACATAAATATATGTTTTTATATTTAATTAATGATTCTTTTTTTATTAATAAATTATATTTTTTGGAATTTTTTTTTAAATTTTTAATAAAGAGAGTTTATGTTGAAACACGTGAATACATCATGTACTAACCCCTCACCGCTACACGAAGTGCGTATGTAGAGTAGAACATATATATAGTGTAACTATATCCTCCTCATACGAAGAGGGTAGATAAGATAATATTATATCATTCTAACCCTATTCATACTTTTCTAAGTCTATCCAACAGTTTATTTTAAATAAAATTTGAAAAAAAAAATTATAATATTATAAAATTATTATATTAAAGTTTCTTTTTGAAAAAGAAATAATTTTAATTGAAAATTATTTATTAATTAAAACATAAATATTTTAAAATATTTTTTCAATTTTGAATTTAGAAAAAAGAATTTGATAAGAAATTAAGAAAATATAATTATAATATTATAAAGTAAATATATTTTATAATTTTAAACAAAAAGAATTTTTAATTATTTGATCTCAATTTAAAATCATTTATTAATTAAAATATAAAATATTTTGAAATATTTTTTAATTTTGAATTAAGAAAATTATTATTAATGAAAAATTGAAAAAATATATTTATAATATCATATAATATATTTTATAATTTTGATAAAGAGGAATTGTTAGTTATTTAATTTTAATTCAAAATTATTTATTTGTTGAAATACAAAATATTTTGAAATATTTTTTTAATTTTGAATTTAGAATATTTTTTTTGATGAAAAATTAAAAAAATATAATTATAATATTATAGAATTAATATATTCTATAATTTTGTAAAAAGCGATTTGATTAAAATAAAAATTATTTATTAATTAAAATATAATATATTTTGAAATATTTTTTTAATTTTAAATTTCAAATATTATTTTTAATGAAAAATGAAAAAAAAAATTAATATTATAGAATGAATATATTTTCTAATTTTGTAAAAAGGAATTTATGTCACGAGGCAGGCAGGCGGAATCAGGAATCTATATTCAATAGTACTAAGAATAGTAGGTATGGGGTATAAATTAAAACATAGTTTAAAAAACTATAATATAGAATTTTTTAATATAAAGATATATAGAGTTTTTATTTATAAATTAGTTTAATAAAGTCTAGCTTATTGTTTATTAGTTATATATATTTATATTATAATATTATTCCTTTTCTTTAAATCGAGTTTTGATAAAGTAATAAAGTATAGTTTATAATTTTGTAGTAGGTAGTTTAGTTTAGATAGGTTTAAACTTATTGGGATATTTATAATAAAAATTGCGAATTAGTTCTTATATATTTTCTAAATAGCTAATAGATTCTTTAATTAATTTATTATAATTAATCTAATAAATAATATATTTTAAATAAGATTCTTTATAACCTTTTTTTTTAATAGAAATTCAGAATTTTAATAATTTTGAAATATTTTAAGTTATTGATTTTTATAAAAGATAACAATAGATTATATTATTCAAGAATAAAATTATTATATATAGAATATAATAGATTGATATAAAAAACAGAATAAATCCTTATAAAAATAAGTAATTCCAGTTTATAAATATAAAGGCTTATTAAATTTAGAATCTTAAATAATCTAAAATTCTTTTAATTAAGCTTTTTCTATAAATATAGGGTTTTGATATTTCTAGTATTCAGTCAAATCAGATTATTAAGAATATATTGATAAGTAAAGGAATAGTAAAAATCAGTATTCTTTAAATATCTAATTTGACTAATAATCAATTCTATTTTTAAATATAAAAAGATTGTTTTTATTTTGGAAATAAATTCCTTAATATTTCTTATAGCAAAACAATTACTTTTAGATAGGAATAACTCAAAGTTTAGATAGGAATGAAATCTGTAATTAAAGAAAAATGGAATTATTCAAATACTTTTGAATTAAATATTATTAATAGAGAATTCAATAAGTAGAAATTGTTCTATTTAATTATTTTGTAAATAAATTATATATAATTTGAGATATTATTTTAATATTGTATTAACTTTTTTGATTTGTTTGTTAATTTCAGAATAGTAAGTGATAAAGAATCTAATAGATATTTTCAAATACTTATAAATATACTTTCAGAATTTGAATACAAATTGAGTTTTATGATTGGAAATAATTATTAAAGATAAGTTATAAAGCTTTTAGATATTCTTTTAAAATAAATAAACAATTTCTTTAGAATTATAGATATTATAATAAAACAGAAAGTGTTTTATTTTAATCAAATAATTGATTATTATTATAATAATATTAAAATCAATATTTTCGAATAAATATATAATGAAATCTATCAAGATATTTTGTTAAACTTTTTATAGAATCAAAAATAAATAAAGAATTTCTTTCTAGTCTTTACAATTTAAGATAATATAATAATAATTATAATAATTACAGATCTACTATATAATATAATTATAATAATTAAATTAATAGTAATCTAGAAATAATAATTTAAAGGTTTGAATATAATATAGATAATTAATAATAAAGAATTTATAATATAAACAAAATAGATAAGCTTTTAAGGAATTGTAATTAGAGATATATAATTTCTCTCAATAATATAACAAATTATTGTTTTCGAAATATTCAATAAGAATAATTTTCGAATATTTTAGAGATCCTTTTTATAGAGATTTCAAAATAAATTTAGGGATAGAATTAATTTGATAATCTTTTTGAAATAGGAATAATAGATTAGTAAATAGATTTAGAGGAGTTTCTTAATCCTTTAAAGATATTACAAAATCAGATTCTAATATAATAAATAGAAGTTCAGATTCAAATATAATAGAATTAGAAAAATTAATAGAATTGAAGTTTCTCTAATTTTATATAATAATAGTGAATTATGTCTTAACAATCTTAACTTTTTTTAAAGTATTAATAATTAAGAATAAATTAAGATTCAAGTTTTCTTTTTTCAGAATAACTCGATTTTGATATAAAAGATATTCATTTTCTTTTTTAAAAAAATCCTCTAATTTTCTAATCAAAATATCAAATTTGATATTTAGTGTAAAAGAGTAGAAGGTGGTAGGGTCATAAAGTAGTCCTTCGTAAATACCACAGATAAGTCACTGAGACGTAGCGCCTCCGGCGGAGGAGAGGAGGAGTAGGTACTATATAGCGTATCACAAAACGTACGAGAAGGTGGGTGGGAACTGACTGCTTTTTTCTAAGCTACACGAAGAAGACCTATAAATACTAGCTACAGAAAGAGGTCACGTGACCAGTACCAAGTTTCGCCCACATTAGTTTTCTAAAATAATAAATAATTTGGAAATTAAATCGAAATAGGAATTCAGATTAATAAATTTGATAATAGTTTAATAGTTTTGTTATTATAAAGTATTTCAGATTTTTGTAATTTATAATTATCTAAATTAAAAACAATACACTTTTTAGTTTAAAATACTATTTTTCAAAATAATAAATAATAACTAGAAGTTCTTTATTATAAATTTCGTAATTATATTTAACAATTAAGTGTTTTTTCGAAAAAAATATAATAGGTTTTAGAATCTTTTTCTTATTATATTAAGAAAAAACTTCCATAAAGATATAATCTAATATATTGATTTCCAAAATCACTTCTTTTTTTTAATTAAAGAAAATTAAAATAAAAGTTTTGATAAATACTTTCTTTAATTAATTAAAAGCATTTTGATAGATAATATTCTATAGAAACAGGATATTCTTTTTAATTAAATTTATTATCGAATTAATTATCTTCAAGAAATCCTTAATAAATTATTAATAAAAGTTTATAAATCTAATAAATACTTGTATATTAGTTATAATATCAAATAATTTCTAGTTTATAATAATCTTTATCTTTTTTAAATTTATTCGAATATTATTCTTTTCTATAATTAAATTAAAGAAAATAATTTCAAATTTCAGGAATTCATATTTTTCGAATTTTGTGAATAGATTGGTTTTTCTTAATATTTATAGAACTTTTTGAATATAACAAATATATTCTTTTTGGATATAATTATATATTAATATATTATTTAGATATATAATATAAAATATATTCAAATATCTTTATAGGAAGTTATTAATAAATTTCTAGAATATAATAAATGTTTCTATTAATTTAAATAGTATAATTAAAAATTCGAATAAACTAAATTGGATATAGAATATAATTAAATATTTCTATTCTTTTTTGATTCTGATATTATTAAAAATAAAAATAATATTGATCTTATTAAAATACTTTATTTCCTTTAAATTGTTTAGAAATTCTTTAATTAGTAGTAATAGATATCAATCTTTTA